TTGCTAATTTTCTGTTAGAATAGACCCTGAGCAGCAAAGTCTGGCTCACTCTCTCTCCTCTCCCCTCCCACAATAACATATTCAGTTGCAACAAAGCCACATTTTTGATTCTATTATTTTATTAAGCGGACCTCTGGCAACACTACATATTATGGCCCATCTAAAACCAGTTTACAGTCTCTGTTATGTATGCCTGCCCCCTTTATTCTAATATCACATAGAAATGCTGTCTTATATTATGTCACTAAAGTTATAATGCTGGTCGACTCCATTTACTAACCACCCCAATCACATAACATTGTCCTCTCCCCACACGGCCCCTCCCTGTGTTGGCATCTCCTCCTCCAGGTTTTTGCCAGAATATAGGCCCTGAGTCTACCAACCCGCATGTGTAACTTTACTCACATGATGAATAGCTCTATTGAGTTCAATAGGCCAGGAACAGAGTTGCATAGGCCTCTGCATAAGCATTTGCAATGTCAAACTGCTCCGATGATGGGGCTCTACATGGATGCAGGAAGATGCCCACGAGGATTAGACTGCAAGGCCTTCAGGGCAGAATTCTATTTACATCTCTCTAGTAGAGTACTGGGCACATCTTGTCCACCACTTTCAAGAGGAATCAGTAATTTTAGGTGCCTCACTTGAGACACATTAAATGAGCTTGATTTTCAGCAAATGCTAAGCAGTCGTCCTCTAGGGTTGGGTGGGGGGGAGAAAAATCAGCCCTTTAAAAATGTTCAGGTTGAACACCCAACAAAATTGATGCAGCGTCCAAAGTAACTTTGGATATTTTCAGCCATAGAGTGTGATGTATAGTAAGCGTCAGACACAATATTAACAACTACCAATATGTCTTACAAATACCTGAGCCAGAGGGGATGAGCAGTGCACCATACAACACTCCATTTCCAGGAGCAATGGGACAACAGAATTAAGGCAAGCAGAGTTTTGCCATGGGCATTGTGATGTGCAGAATTACATGCATCTCCAATGTCACTTCATACCAAGATTATACCACAGGGTGTGTCAGACCAGAGTAATTTAATGTATCCATTTATAACAAAAAAGGCAGCGTGTGCCCAACGGTTACTTATGTTGTTAGTTAAGTCACTTAAATATAGGATTTATTGATGGCTTCAATTTCTGTCTGGCTGCGAGGGAGGCAGATCTGTTCTTGCTGGAACGCTTTGCACTGCCACAAATGAAAAATCCACACGCCCCTTTGGTAAGCAGGGAGAGTCAGGCTTCTCTGGGAGGTCACGTTTTCCATCCCTGTATGCTTGACTTCTGTGGGAGTTTTGGCTAAGTACTGGACTACTGCGCCCTTACATACCTGGGGCCAGGGTCTGTCTTCAGCTCCACCAGTGTGAAAGGACAGATCCTCCTTTCATTGTGGTCAGTGGGAGCCCGGTCACTGATTTCAGCATGAGGAAGATGTTGGGCTTTTGGATGCTGACATGACTAGACCCTACATCAGTATAGATCTGGCCCCCATTCTGCAATGACATGGGCCTATACAGAGCCCATTGATTTCAGTGGGGCTTTGCCAGCACTGCTTTTCTTGAGGCCTTTCACAGTCATGTCTGTCAGGCAGTGAAGGAGCAGAGTTCCCTTTAGCTTGGCTCCAGTGGAATGGTTTCTTACAAGGAAAGTATAAAAGGACACTCTAGTCCTTTCCTAGCTGAAGGATATAGAGGAACTTCCTGATATACACAGCCAGTCTAGAAATAGTCTTTGCCTAGCCCCGGAGCTTTATACCCCAACATCTCAACAACAACTCACTGCAAGAAGGAAGCAAACATTTAAACATTTACCAGCCATAGCCTCAGAATAGGTCGGATGGCTCTATTCTTGAATCCGGGGATGTGAATAGGAGAGATTTCCCTATAGATATTTATTTTAAACCTAACTTCCTTGTCTCTCCCTCAAGCCAGCCCTTCTCTAATTAAATATAAATGTAAACATTGCTTTCTTGCTAGGTATTTGTGAAGTGTTTTTCTTTATAGTATATTCCTTATACTTCCTAAAAAAACAGACTCAAGATATTACCCATCCTGAAATGATTCTGAGAGCCTGTTTCAGTAATTTTATTCCCTCCCCACATGAAAGTAGTTTCCAAACTGGGGGATCCATTACTCAGTTTTCGATATTATCCCCATTAGATTTATCTTAACCCAATTGCACCAGTAATGTCACCATTCTATTATCTTACACCCCAAATAGTCACACACATCCAGCTTCACTGATTTAAATATTTTATCAGTTAAGCAATTTATATTTGTTTTAAATGAGAACTTTGGATTATCCCAAATTTAAACAGTTAACAAATAGGACAATACGCCAGTGTTGGCGAGCAGGTTATGTTGGCAGTTAATTTGATTATACTATTTTAAGAAAGATGGGAGAATATTTTAACTAGTTAAATTGAAATAAATGGGGGGAAGCTACTTTTAAGGAAAAAGCACCAACTATATAAATGAAACAAATTTAACTAACAATTACCTAGAAACTCGTCCAGTTTCCAAGCAGAAAGTTCACCCTTGTGAAAGACTGACCTCAGGGGGGTGTGTTAACTCATTTCGCCAGCAGAGGGCCCTCTACACACAACACCGCTCTGCGAGTGACCCGGTAAACTTCGAAGTTTTTCCTAACACAAACAATTTGGCTAATAAATCTTCCAAAGAATGAGAAAAGGGTAATTGGTGAAGAAAAGGGTTGTTTATGTCATCCTTTATTGCTTTACCATAAAGCCGGGAAGTTCTCCTCAAACCAGAGAGAAATTAGGACCTCCCGACCTCTTTGGGAATATAAGGACTTGGGTCAGTTTAAACAGATTTCATAGGGGGAACCATGCTTCTGGGGGATGAAACGGGGGCGGGGCGCCTAATACCTGAGGGAGACTAGATCCTTGACCGAAAGAGAGGGGGAAATTATTTGAAAGCCAATCGTGAACTCTCCAACGATCCCCTATAAAACTTCAGCAATTAACAGAAAGGAGAAAACGACTGGGCTTGTGGGCCCCGTTACCTGGGAAGCAGTTGGAAAGCGAGTTGGAAACTTCTCCCTGGTTTTTTCAGTGTCTTGCCAAACAAGGAGAACTCCAGACAGCACTAGCTGTTTTCAAGCTGCGACCATGACTAACCAACAGCCTCTCTCTAGTCCCTTTGTCCTTCACACCTGTTAGCAAACTAGCTAAAATTAGCCTATTAAAACAAGACAAAGTGTAAGAGTGAGTATTATTTACGGGGGGGATAGGGGCGCTACCTCTCTCTCTTCCTGCCGAAAACAGTCATCGCAACCCACGTTAAAACAATTATAACGAGGTATCTTTTGACCTAGAAATGCTAATTGGATAGATGATTAATAGAACGCAGCTTGTCAGCAGCTGTTGGAAGGGTTCTGTAACAGAACGCGCTGGGTTTGCTGCGTGGGTGAGAATTCATGTTCTGAACGTTTTAGGGGCCCAACTCTGCAAACGTTCACTTGATTCACCTGAGGAGGTTCTTTGGCGTTCCTTGCTCAGGTGAACAGACATTCGCTACTCGTGATTAAATGCCAGCAGAGCCTGTTGCTTGACGGGGACCCCGATTGCAAGAATAGCAGAGATGTCTTTGATTATGCCAGGTGTACGACTTTTCCCTAGGAGCCTTGGTTTAATGCAAACTCTCACAAAATATCCCCATTTTTACGTTGTTCTCAACACATGGTAGCCACAGATTTCGCAACAGGAACATTTAGATAATAAAAGCTGGCCCTAGGAACTTATTTTGGGGGTGGCAGGGGAATTCCAACAAACCACTGACAGATAAGACACAAAAATCCAATGTCATCAAGCCAAATTAAAATAAAAGGCTTCCTTTCCGCCGAGATGGGAAACATATTTGCAAATAAACAAGGCAGCTTAGCCAAAATGGTTTTCAAAGAGCCACAGTTTACATTGGCAATAAAGGGGGGGGGGGGTCTGATTTTATGTTATGTGTGTGCTTTAAGCTAAAAAGAAAGGGGGGCAGCAAAATGTTGCAACACTGTCGCTGGAAACTGTATCTGCTGCTGTCGCTTTAAATCAAACTGTTTCTTTTCGTTTATATCTCAATAATACAAAACGGATGTTTATATGCATTGAAGCATTTTAATCTTTCCTGATCAAAATTAAATGCAGGCTCGCAGGATTTAGAACAGACTTTCTACACATCCTCTAATTGAAAATAATAACGAACATATATAAAAAAAAATAGGCCTAACCTAATAAAGTCTCTACGTTTCAGATTCAAAGTCTTCAGATGGTAATTGAACTCACTCAAGTCTTCTCCGGGAGCTGTTGGATCCACGAATCTGGGGCGAGTACAGTATGTTAATAATATGCATGCCAGGGTTTTCAGATGTTAGGACTTAAATGCAATGGGTCCTTCAGCACAGACCTGCAGAGAATCGAGGGCTACACAAAATCCACACTTTTACCCAGCTAGTTCGGTTCCTCCTCCTGGGTTAATCATTTACTCTTTAAAAAAAAAATCTAAAGTCAAAGGTGCAGGGAATGAGGGTGACATAGAATCAACCCCCCCCCCCAATCCTTTGTGTTAATTAAAGCAAAATGGAGCCGCAACCAGTTATGCAGGTGCTTAAGTGTTTAGCACGTGACTTGTCAGCACTGTTCACGTGCTAAAGTTAAGCACGTGGCTCACTGCATGAACCTGCATGACTGTAGTTAACTGAAGGCTCTCAGACTTACTCTTGGTAAGAATGATGTCATCCCGGTTGTAGTTAGCCCTCACATAAAAAAAATTGTTAGTGGTTTTAATTTCTTAGGGTGATCAAAATCTCCACTCAGAACTCGACGTGCATGCTGGGCTATTCAAATTTCGGGGGGGAGGTTCGTACTCCCAAACGTTAGAATAAAGTAAATAACCCACATAGAATCCTGAAATGCTAGGAGAGATGAAAAACACCAAACTTGCGAAGCTTCTTAGAATATTTTTTATTGAAAGATGTGAGAGAATTCATCAAAAAATGAACAGATAGATACCCGAATAACCAGCACATTTCAAATCCTGTATATTTTTATTTTAAAACAAATATAGAGCACAGTCCATGTGATATTTAAATTTATTATATTTCTTTTTTTGTTCTGGAGTGAAAAATAAAAACCTGAGGTTTATTCCTGCATTTCCTGTACCCCGCACTGTAAAGATATTTTCATTGGATTTTTTTTCCTTGTAAGAGTTCCTTAAAGAATTGAACTCTGATTTTAATGACTGAAAAGTGTATACTGATGGCACATGATTGTCCTAGAGAACAGGCGGGATAAACAACATTTTAAAACACAGTTAAAGAAACCAAGTTCTCCTTCAATCACAAAGAGCTAAATATTTTTTTCATTTACAATATATATGTTCATGTAAAATGAAAAAAAATTAAATGCGATGAGTTAAACTCTAAATATTATGTACACACCAATGTACAACTGAATAAATTAATACCAATTTGCATATTCTGGGCTCCTTATAGCTTATTTACACAAATTTTCATTTATTTCATAAATATTTTTTTCTGGTACACAGGTAGATTCCAAAACCGCCATGTCACACTGCCTGTACCAGTTCTGCGTGTTGGTGGCCTTTGAAATCAGTGGTGGATGCAATAGAGCTGGACAGTTTATTTCCATTTTCCCCCTGACAAATCAGGTTACACACTTGTTCATAGTCACTAGGCTTGCCCAGAGTTATTATTTTCCTCTTAAAATTGTCTGTTTTAGGTGGGGGAGGGGGGTTGAAAGCATCTTCCTCCCTTCAGAAATCAGTCCCTATAGAAAACATCAGTCACCTTTCCCGCAGTCTCTTTAAGGGAATGACTGGTACATTCTTTCGCCATCCCGGAAATTGCATGTGTTATGGGTAATCCATTGATCAAGAAAGTTATGCTGCAGATTGGAGTCCTTTTGCTTTTCCAGATGTATTTGGAGTCCAAACCAGTGGGACTGAGGAGGGGAGGGAAGGATACTCGCCGTATTTTCTCCTGATTTGGGTTTAGGGAGGGGAGATCCTATCCATTATATTCTCCTGGGTCTGAGTGGAGAGTGGTGGGGAGGGAGGGAGGAATAGTCTCCCATAATTACTCCTGGCTACGGGATATTTTGCTTGTGGACCATTCACTTGGCCTCTGCTTTGTCTGGGTGTCTGTATGGATCACACTTGTATCCCTGTCTTTAACTGCCTGTCCCCCTCCCCTTTTTTTCCCTTGTTTTTTTTTAAATAAATATTTATACTGTGCTGTACAAAATCCCAGTGCTTCTCAGCCCTTCGGGCTGGCGTGTTGGCAGCTCAGCCAGTCACTTGGGGGACTCCCTGCCGGGTGACACCTCCCTTTGGCTCTCCAAGCAACTGACCAGTCTCTGGATATTCTGCAGTTCATTGATGGAATCTTTCAGGGAGCTTTTGGGAGAGAGGGAGCCCCTCTGGCTGCTGGATTTGTGCAAAGGGAGGTCTGGGAGGGGGCTGGATTCCCTGCTGCTGCTGGGTTTGGAGCCTTCCGAGCCTGGGTTCAGGCTGGCGGGCAGACCGGTGGTCAGGAGGTTGGTGCTGGGTGGGATGGTGACGGGGATCTGGTACGGGCTGAAGCGCAGGCGAGGGCGGGTGCTGCTCAGGAAGGGATTCCGGGACAGGGAGCTGGCCGCAGCCGCACTGGTCGCTGGCAGCGCTGAGGCGGCGGCAGCCGCAGCTGCCATGTAGGTGTACGGATAAGGGAAGAGTCCGCCAAAGGTGGGCATCGGAATTCCCTGCAAGAGAGAGACAAAGCGGGAGAGTTTTAAGAGCGCCTGGTGGTGGGAACTGGCCATATCGCAAGCTGAGGGGCAGGGGGAAGAATGTCAGGCAACCAGAAAATCCAGGTGAGCCACCCTGATATCTTTGAAATCAAGGGATTAGGAGAGAATCTACTGCCAAGGTAAGAGGCCAGGAGAGCAGACTCCAGGTGAAAGGGGTTGGCACCTGCGTCCAGTTCATTGGAAGGAAGCTGGGGGACCAGGGATGGGGAACCAACCAATGCCCCAGAGAAAGGACGGCAGGCCTGGGACCAGGGCATTTCATCCCGGGGACCCAGGAGGAAGTCGAAGTAGCCAAGCTCCTGTATCGCTTCAAACGCAGAGCCCAAGAGACAGAGGCTTGTCTGTCAATTGTCTCTGCATTGGGTGAGCTTCTCTGTCCTCTGGGAGCATAAATGACCTTCCACCAGCAGCGCAAAATCAAGTCAAACTCATTAACTAATGGAAATGGAATATTTTCTTCCAACACTCTCACCCACCCAGCTCAGCACTTTCCATCCCTCTGGGGCAAGAGAGATGCCACAAATTTGTGCCTCCTCTCTACTAATAAATATATGCCACATATCAGATCCTGCACCCTTTTATTCCGAATTTCCCACTGAAACAATACACCCTGTATGCAGCAAAAGAGATTTAAACGTCAGGGAACCGTGAAAGGAATCAACCTGCTGAAACAGTCCCGAGCACAGAAGCAATGCCCTCTTAATTAGGCTGGGGCACTGCTCAAGGAATAGGTAGGGATGAAGGTAACCTGTTGAGTTCCTAAAGGATCTTGTAATAAATGGGGAGAGGATCAGACCTGATAAATAGAAATGAAGTTAACTAGCACGTCTGCTGGGCAGCCTGAAGCCCCTACCAGAGAAATGCCTGTTGAAAAGCTAGAGCAGTCCACCACAATAAGGCTCTGCCTTGAACAGGTCTCCACTAGGACATCAAAAGCAACATCTTCCCTCTCTGCTCTAGCCTGTCTCCCAGGTCTGTGCATCCTCACCACAAGTTTAATCACATTAAGACACACAGTTAAGTAGGATCGATAAATTAGACAATTTAAATGACATCTTGGTGTAGTTGGGTTGGGACACACACACACACACACACACACCCATTTTGAAGATGGCACAACCCTAGTTTTGGCCAGTGGAAATAGGCTGGATCTTTCTCCCATTGAAGTCAGTGGGCAGAATCGGGCCCTTTCCACTTACTAGACATGCTCCTTATGGGCCCCTCTGATTTGGGGGGACATAATGAGCCTTGAACGCAGCTACCCCCTCTAGCACTGATCGTTACAGGCTCCAGCAGCGCCAGCCTGCTGGGTTTGACTCCGGATTCACCCTGGCGCTGAGCACCCTGTTCAAAGCTAGGGAAAGGCACAGAAGTGGATAGGCGCGTCCCTAATTCCCATGTATCTCCTGTTTGCATTAGCAACAAGCAAGCAGCTGCAAAGTAATCACGACTGTACCCGGTCTGAAAGGTTCGCCCGGGTTCGCCTCGCAAAGCTCTGTAGGAATGGAAGGTCAGTCCTGGCTCCTGCACATTACACACACTCACACTCAAGGAGAGACTGGAGCTAGACACGTTTTATTCTGTATCAATTCAATACCCCTGTAACTGGGGGTTTTAAAACGGGGTCAGGGCCGAGCATTTCCGCGGGCTGATTTGTTACCCTTCAGATCTGGCTGCATCTAAACGAATTAGAGTGTTACAGGACCAAAGGGAGGATGATATATTATTGGCCGGAGACAAATGTCACGGATAGAAATAAAGGGACCCTCGGGTGGGCTCCTGCAGAAGAAAGCAGGCGATAATGCCGCTATCAGGCACTCGGTCTCCCCTGTCTCCCGGATGGGTTGATTGATTTTGTTTTCCAAAGTCCCAGGCTGGCTAGGGAACCGCACTGAATTGCTCTCCGGATAGCCCGATCCGAAACGTGACCCTGCTTCAACCAGCCGCATTTCTCCGGCCAGTGAAGCAGCCGAGAGGTATTTGAAGCAAGCAATGTGGTATCCGATTCAATCAGCGAAGGGGACTGGGATAGTGACCGGTAACAACCCAGCCTCCCGCTGCCCAGGGAGCCAGGAGACGGGGGAGGGGGGAATGGGATGGCCTGGGGACACAATGAAAGAGCCATTGTTTTCCACTGCGAGCTGATGCAGCCAGCCCAGAGGTGCTGGGCTCTGCCCTGGCACGAATTCAGCCGTGCGGGGACCCCAGGCTCCGGACCCCCCCATTTCTAAGCAGGAGATAGGGGGGTAAGGAGAGAAGGAAGGGGGGTTAACTAGGGCAATGAAGGGGAGAATTAAATACGGAAGCAGATGCGGGATAAGGGGGTGAAATGGGGGGATACATTCGTGGGGAGGGTAAAGGGAGGGGAGTTGAGTATTGGGGGGGGGGGGAACCGCGGCTTGTCCCAGCCCCCTCCGGCGAGCCCCGCTTACCTGAGAGGCCAGCATGTGCTGGGAGAGGTGGAAGGGGAAGGGGGTGGCGGTCCCGGCCGCCCCCTGAGTCGAAGCCAGGGCTCCGTTCTCCAGGCCCCCGCCGGCCACCGAGGCCAGCAAGTGTCCCATGCCCATGGCGGAGAAGGCCCCGGGGGCCATGGCGAACTGCCCCGGGTGCAGGAAGAGGGGCTGCCCGGCGCCCAGCGGGTTGAAGAACTGCTGCCCGTGCAGGCCGGAGAGCGCCAGGCTCTGCAGGTGCCCCGCGCTCAGGTGCGGGGGACTGTCCGTCTGCACCATCAGGGGGGCGAAGGACTCTTTGCTCAGCCCGCCGCCCTCCGCCTCCTTCTTGGAGGCGTCCGGCTCTTTCCGCCGCCCCTCGGGCTTGTCCTTCTCCAGCCCCTTGGGCTTCTCCGGGCTGGGTCTCTCCCGGCTGCGCTCCTCCGGCAGCCGCGGGCTGGTCTCCTCCGGGCCGGGGCTGGGCCCGCGGGCCGGCCGCTCCTCGGGCAGCTTCTCCAGCTCCGGGTCGCTCTCCGGGCAGGATTTCTCCTCTGCAAGGAAAGGGGGGGGGGGTGTGTGAAACGCGGGCCCATCCCGTGCCCCGGGGGCTCGCACAGCTGGGGGGCAACGGGAATCAGCCCCGGTGCAGGCTGCCCTGCTGCCCAAACCCCTTCTCCCCCCCTTGTATCACACACCCATGGCAACCTGCCTTCCCCAGCCGGCCCTGTCTGCCTGGCTCTATTTAAACTCAGCAATCAACTGGGGGAGGGGGGGATGCTACTAAAATCTCCACCGTTTTGGAAAAAAAAAAAACCCGGGTTATTCATTGAAAAAATTCAATCTATTTTGGGGGGGGGGGGGAGGAGAGAATTAGACCTTTATAAACTGGTCGTTGTGAGGCACAGGGGATTAGCACCGCTTTGCCAAACAGGAAGAACATATTTGCTAAGGGCACCAAAATATATGACAGCATCCTCTCAATTAGCTTCATCTTCACCCTGGTCTGCCTAGCTCGTGACGTGCTCCGCGGGTTCAAACAAAGCAAAAGCCATCGAGAAAGGAAGGCGTATGTGCAGTATTCGAAAAGAATTGATTCATTTATGGTATAGCTAGATTAAGTGTAAATGCACCTTATGGACCGATTAGAAAGGGAGGGGGGGTTGTTCAGATTAAATCACCATGAAATAAGTATGTCATGATCTGTTCTGAAAAAGCACTGATCAAAATACACATCATTGTGGAGAGGGAAAATAGCGAATTGAACCATATTTCGCAACAGAATCGATCATGCATACAAGCATCTCTGTAGTCTGAGGTAGCAAAGATCCCATCGCGGCAGGTAACTTCACACATCCGGATTTAAATAATATCGGGCTAGTTGTGATTCAGAGAGCAAAAAGTTTGAGGCAGCTTAAGTTAAATTCCTTAGTTTGAGGTATATATTCATTGCTGGTTTAATGGATTTAGCTGAAAAGCCCTCAAGAGGGCCAGGTGTGTCATAAGCCCTGGTATTAGGTAAATACTATTTCTGCAATTTCATTAATTTTTGCAAGCCAAAGAGGCAGGCCTAAAATAGAGGGAAAGGATTTTTTTTTTAAAGCAGCAAATCCACTGACACTGTGTCAGTGCCATACATGGTAGCTGAAAACTACAATGAGAGAGCTGCTGAGTTTTATTTCCATTTACTAGATGTGAGCCTCCAAGTTCTCTCCTCTGAAAAATTAGGGATTGTTGTGGAGGGGGGTTTAATTTACCTTTTGCAACCAGAGTAACGCTCCAGAAAGGAGTTCTGGAAGCCAGTAAGGCTTATGTAACATCATAATTACGTTGATGCAGCCTGTTGTTTACACAAATTTACAACAGGAAAATGTTAGAAGCTGCAAATAAGGTTTGCATTCCCCCCTCCCCAGCTACATTTCTTCAGTCGTAACATTTGGTTCTGTTGTAGGGATCAACCTCTCTACCTCCTTCTCCTTTGGGTTGGGCACATTTTTCTTCCCACTGGTCTGAACCCCGAATTTGCAATCAGTCGGAAGTGGGATAGAATTCACTCCTCGCCTGTTTTTAATCTGTATTTAAAAGTGGCACCTATATCATTGCCGAATGAGGAGCCAAGACATACCTGAAATCTGACACGCCAGGGAAATTACTTAAATTACAATTTTTGAATCTATTCTTTTCTTCCTCATCTTCCCATTTGGATTTGACTTACAAATACCTCTCAGTTCTAGTGGGTGGAAAAAAGTAATTTTCCAGTTAACAACCTTGGGGTCTGAGTTACACCTCTGTTAATTCGAAGCCATTCCTAGGAAGGCTTTAGGATGTAAATCAGATTGGAGTCTGGCCATTTTTGTTCAGAGAAGGCAAGAGAGAAAAATCACCGCTTTCCTTTTTTAACAGACGTTCATGCTGAGTTCTGGAGTGAACTGTCTAATTACCTCTGCTGCTGCGGTTGAGTCTCAGGGGACTCGGGGCTGTACCCAATGGGGAGTGAAGTGTATCGCGCACTGGGGCAGGATCACACGAGGAAGCATCGGATTCGCCCCCATCTCGGTCAGGTTTGCACTGCTCCTCATACATCCGCAGGGAGGGGAGAGTGAGCTGTTTCCTTCAAAAAGAAAAAGTCATTACTAAACATTATCTCTGTGGTGCGTCCCAATAGATACACTCATGGTTCCACCTTGTTAATGGGGATAGGGGAAGGTGGAATCGCTTTACGACACCCGTTGTAAATATTACTTTGGGCTAAACTAAATCCCCACTGAAATCTCTCAAGTAACTTTTGGATATCAAAAACAAAGGGAAGGAAGAAGGAAATATCCATGTTACCACGAGACTAAAACATTCTAGCTCGGATAACAATTTTACCTCTTTTCTCGCCTTCCATTCCCGGTATCTCTGAATCCTTTTGCAAATGGGTTATTATCGATTTTAAGCTGGGTGATCTGAAAACAACAACACCAATAAGCTGTGTAAGTTATCCTAGAGACAAGGTTTTATGCAGAAAGGGTTAAAATATTCTCTCTCTCTCTCTCTCTCTCTCTCTCTCTCTCTCACACACACACACACACATTTTTGGACTGTGTGGAAATACATGTAAAATCGCCCTTTAAAACAGCAACGATGAGACAAATATTAGTCATTAAAAAGTGATGGGAAATAAAAATAAAGAGCAACCTTGTAGCTTGGTCGCTTGACCTGTGCTAACCTCCAAAGTTCAACGGTGCAGAATGTCAGTGTCCTATTTAGGTTCTGTTTCAAACGGTTTGAAACACACACAATCCCCGGTTTAACACACCGCATGCGTTATTAAAAATGATGCTGAGGTTTGGCCTGAATTATTAATAGAGTTTTAATGATAGGAAGTTATTTTTCACGGCCCCCTGGAGGGAAGATGGCGACTAAACATTGCTGTGTTGGTTAAAAGCTATTCTTATCTCTCCCAGAGACTAACTTATGGTGCTGGCGACATGAGGGCATTCAATAATTCATGCTTCTGAAATATGTCCCCTCGATGGTTGCTTTAAAAATGCATGTTTGATCTGCTCCACATTATTTCTGTAAAAACAAATTGCTTAATCCCCCTTTTACTTCCCAGCTTTTCCACCAAGCAGGTTTTATTTTGTGCCAGGATAGACAGTGGGGAAGAGGCAGTGCATACCTAGCAAAGAAGGTATAATAGATCTGTCCCTTTCCAGCCCTAAACTGCCCCTCACTCCACTCATCCATCTCCCTTAAACTGCACGGATCAGAAATACCGCCCCAAAGCAGGGTTTTAGTCTGAAGAGATGAGTAGTCAGTGACAGCTGGCTACACACCCTCCTAGCTTGCAGACCTGCAGGATGGGTGGTGTGTGTGTGTGTGTGTGTGTGTGTGTGTGTGTGTGTGTGTGTGTAGCCCATCCGAAAGAACCAGGCTGGAACAAGTGCTGAGTTGCGTTGCGGTAGCTTGCGGCGATGCTGCAGCCTAAGTGTTCTTTAATCGATTGTGACTCTTTGCCATAAACTTTACGAGGGAAACAAGCCCACCAGGACCCTGAGACAGACCTGTCAATTAACATCAGCAGCCAGGAGTGGAGGTGCCGGTCAGCTTTGGGGGGGGGGGGTGAAACCTCTTGGGGGGGGGGGGGGCTAAAAACCGGTCAAGTCTGAAGAACAAAACCCAGCTAAAGCACCACCAGAATCAAAGATTTCCCGCCCATCTCCAAAGCTTTGCTTGCTGTTCTCCGGCACCCCCCCCCTCCCAAGTGAAAGGCTAACCCTGGTTAATCTTGAAAGCTATTGAATTAGCCTATCTTCTTGGTCATTTTACTGTGCTCCTCCGCAAAAGCTGCCTTTAGAGGTAATTCCCTCCAAACGCCCCTCATGCTTCATCATTTCTATCTCCTTAGTATCTGAAAGCTACTGAGCAAAACTCTTCGGTCCCCGTGCCAAAGAACCAAAAAGAAAAGAAAAGAAAAAACAGGCTCCCGGGAGGGGGAAAGTGGGGTACTGCCTCCTCATGTGGGGGCACCTGTCTGTGAAATCTCTCCCTTCGCTCCCACTCCCCCAAGCACTGCCCCCCGACTTGTCTTAAGCCCAAGCAGCATGTTTCATCCGGCTGGCTCAGGCAGAATCAGAAAACACACACACACAATTAACTCCCTGCTTTGATTTTTATCTCCCCCGAGTTAGCAAACTCGATTTCCAAATAGTTGGACTCTTTAAAACTAACAACCGCGAGCTAAACAGGCTAATATTAGTAGGTGGCAGCAGAACAGGAGACTTATAAGGGCATCGGAGTCCTTGTCCAATTCCCATTGCTTGGATTCCTCCTCGGGGGGGACCGATCCTGATCCCATCCTGAAGTCAGGGATTTCAGGGGAAGCAGGATCGGATCCCTACATCTGCTCAAGAAGAAAAGGTTCATTTAAAAAACAACCCCTTTGTCCCCTTACCTTGTCGTTCTGATATGCGGTGACTGCTATGAAGTCTGTTTCAGGGAACACATACGTCCGGAAGGTGCTGTAGGGAAGCTTTAGGATGTCATTGGCTCGCACTATATGAAACCTGGGCTGGTACTTGTGCATGGAGTTCAATATGGTCTGTGGGTTAGGAAATGAGCGAATGACTGAAATCGAGCAAATACAAACCAATCTCCCCTGTAGAATTCCTAAACTCAGGGCCTGCTATCAAATATTAAGCAGGATTCCCCCATTCATACCAAAAGGAGGGTTTTCCCCCCTCTTATAATAAGTCATTTTTTACAATCTGGCCTCTACTGATAAGGTCACTTGGAAGAAAAAGGCTTGTTGCAATTTCTTTGTAAATGCTCTTTAAAAATGCAGGCTGATGACTATAATGATAAGGAGGCAAAATATCTCTCCCCAGATTATTACAATCCTGAGAATGAAGGGAGAGCCCAGTCTCCATTGCATATTTTCTAGCAATCTAGAGCTATATAAAATTATCTCACACAGCGCAGAAGTGGGTTATCTCACCGCAGTTGACTGCAACAGAAAAATATGTTCCGAAGTAAGCTACTGGAATAGTGAAAGGATTGTTTAACGCCACGATCCACGTGGATTTTATGTTTTAGATGAAGATATTACAGATGAACAAGCATTTGCTCCCTAATCAGGTGTCTGAAACTGTGGCCAGCAGTCAAAGCAATTCTGTGTTCCTTATTTTTTTAATTTTAGAGCATTTGGAAATATTTCTAAACCAGAACCACAATTTGAAAGAAGGGTCAAATACACATTTTAATTAGCTTAAATTGCTCTGAAAAAGAACACAATTGTTGCGAATTCTAAATTCCTTTTCTCCCCCCTTTCAAATCACACAACTAAAGTATTTTCTTGCCTGTTCTTGATTTAATAATTCGGTAACCTGATGTGTTCAGGATTAAATGCAATATTACCGAAACAAAATTGTTGCTGGCTGGTGAATTCTTAATGATTGTAAAATACTATTGCCCAAGTGGCTAAATAATTGTCACTTCATTTTGCTGTAGAAGGCAATAAAAAAAACAATTTTAACCCCAAAATAGTCACCTGCTGGTGACCTGTCAGATCAATATTATATCGATGTAATCTAGACGGGATTTATAAAGGAAATGGTGCAAAAATTCCCATTCAGGCTGTAAATCTGCATTCCTTTAAAAAAAAATCATCCCTTCCATGACCAGATGGCACAGACTAAACCCTGATCTTTCCGATTTAATACACGCCGGCCTTTTGAGAGCAACACACACCAAAAATATTGAACTGATGAAGAGGAACCGTTCAAAATGTTAGATCCCACTAGCTTTCCTTGAATAATAAAAAGCTATTTCTTATACTCTCTTGCTATTGATTTACACATTGCATTCTCGAAACACAGCGCAATGTCTTATCGAACGGGCCAGTTCTTTTTCTATCTAGACAAAGTAATCTCCTCACCTGAGAGATTTTTCATGCCTTCTATTGCCCATATTGCTGTTGGGTGCAGCCCCCACCCACCCTTGAGTGGGCGCTGACTGCCTGTGGCATGGATTGACTGACAAACCACCATCTCCAAATCCCAGTTAATTACCATATCAAAAACCTAGGACGGTGAACTTTCTCTTTATCGCCCCAAATGCTTGTCCAAAGGCGAAAGACAGCTTGTTTGTGAGCTCTGATTCCCTCCCTTCGCGCCCCCCTTCACCGGGCATTAATGGAAGAATAAACATCTCTCTCCCTAGTTCAGATCCTCTCTATGCTGTGGATATCTGCAAATTGCTAAGACACTTCGATTTTTTTGTTCACTAGGCGAGGAAGATGATCAATAAAAAAATAAATAGGGACGTTTGATAGACTTTAAAAAAATCCTTCTCTGCAAGGAGACTTCTGCTTCCTGGAATAACAGAATAAGCTTTCCGTACTCCCAGTGAAACTAAGACAGGTGGGTCACTTCAGCCATCTACCAGCTGAAATATACCAAGACCGGTTTTAACCAAGATCCCCGAGATATTGAATTTTGCAGCGGACACCCAGCCTTGCCCATATGCGGGCTGGCCTCTCCTTCAGTTGCACCTGTAGAGAGCATGGCTTCTTAGTGTGCTCCCCAAGCTACCCTGTTGCCCTCAGACACCTCTTATCTTTCATTTAAAGGGAGGCGATTCTGCAGCCAAAACCAAACCAAACAACAAACCTTAAGGGTTTATGAAATGACCCTCTCTTTTCCTTTATTGCTCCACCAAAAAGTCAAGTGATCAAACAGGTCATTCAGGACTTGCCCATTCACACTGAAATCCTCTCAGAGATCACAGTCTCCCCCGATCTCATTTCGGCAACTGTATTTAATCCCAAATCATTTTTACAGATGTAACCCCCCCCACTTTCTCATACACACCGTCCCAATCTCTCCCAGGTTCTGGTGACTGGTCTGCCAAGTAGATTGCCCTGTAGTCCTGCAGTTACAAATGTTAGAGCAATTATGCAATTACCTGAGTTTATAATTATTACACTGCAGGCAATCTCCTAACAATTCCAGCTCACGTTTAAATCCAGGAGGGTTTACAGTGTGTGAGGACTGACAGGATCGGGCCCAGTGAAGGAAACTGATCTGGCATATTTTAAGGGAGGAAAATGAGTAGTGCATTGGCCGTCACCCGCGTGACTCAACCATGAAGCAAATGGTGTAAGGATTTAAACCCACAATGCCATGTTCTTAAGAGTTCTTCCTTCCAAAGCTGATTTAAAAAAAAAGTTTTCCACTTATTGTTATGGCGCAGAGCCTGTATCCCCCTGCTCCCCACTGTTTAATGGATTTTACTACATGGTTTTCAATAACTCACCCTGGAATTGAAATAGGGAATATGTCAGGGTCCTCTCCAAATTACAAAACCCATGACATCTAGAACGTGCAACCACTTCCATTTACCCTCCGCCCAACCTTAGACATTTGAGGCGGTTAAGTTAGCATTGCCTACACCATGTGTCTGAAATTCGCAATTCATACTGACTCAAAGGCCCAAGTGAACATGTTAGGGGGTGTGTGTACACACACACACACACACACACACACATAATCGACACGGCGATTAATCTTAATTAAGAGTGATGGATCCCATGCATTTTAAGGCCCGCTATGTGTGTTATGAATTAAAATGTCGTGATAAGAGCTGGTGATTTACTATTTACAGATGATAAGCGCACATTCAAACTGCGCTGTCTGCTGGGGGAAATATGTTGCCTATTTCTAACGGGGGCAGTTAAATTCATGGCACAAGCACCCTTGTTTTCCTCCGTTTTGGTAATAGGTGGGTTCTTCTGGGTCTATTTTTAGCGAGTACATAGGAACCTCGTAAACGACAATACCTGACGACAAAGTTCCCAGAATTTTGACGCTTGTTGGTTTTTTCAAACAAACCCCGGTGATCAAGAGATGTCTTTTGAAATGTGCCCACCAGAGCTATGTTTGTTTCCCTTTGCTCCTTGGTGAAGATAGCAGCTGTTTGGGTTTTTTTTTTAACCAATCCATGTATTAAGCTGCAGTTTCTGTCTCACCCATGCCTAGCTTTCCATCTGTCCTTCAGATGCACAAACACACAACACTTAACGGGCAGCTAGCGAGACATTCGTGGCAATGCAAAAAAGCGTCCTGCACCATCACCGCCCGCTCGAAAAATGACCCCCACAATCGCTTGTCGAGGTGATACTTACAAATCCGTGCTTGTCCGAGATGTTGTTAGTGAGCTTGAGTTTGTGAAAGGCAACAGGTTTCGCCATCCACTGCTCCCCTGTAGCAGGGCTGTCCGGGTGGATGTACATACGCTTGGGCATCTCTGGGTCCGCCTTCCCGGCTACCATCCAGCGAGAATTGTGGAATTTATACCGGCAATCATCCGCAGCCACTATATCCATTAATAAAATGTACTTGGCCTTCTTGTCCAGGCCGTTCACACGCACTTTAAACGGGGGGAACATTCTCCTAAGGGAATAAAAGACAATAGGAGAAAGAGAATAGTTTCGTATTAAAAATAATCCGAAGCACTATAGCGTTTGCTCGCTTTTGTTACAAAATATGCAACGAGAAGCAGCAGCAGAGTCTGAGACCTATTAATCCGCAGGTTGCGGGCACTGCGTACCCCCAGCCCTGTCTCTCTCTCTGGGTTTGCATCCATCGTGTGCCCACTGCTAAGTAAACTGGAAATGTGCATTAGAGCCATGTTGTTACATTGTAAAGTCTAGACCCTGGGCCTCCGCTTTCAAAACGAAGTGAATTTTTAAAAATAAACTCACACCGAATTAGCAATTCGGAACAGGTCTGTGGTCTCAGAACTACTATGAAAAACAAACCTTCTTGTAGAGATTAAATCCTGGTTCAGGTCCGAAATCTACGTCCTGGGCTCTTTTGTGTTTTGCCATGTTTTTAAAAAGTGCACACACTGGGTTTGTCTCCCCTACCCCCTTTAATCTAACCAGCCGCTTCTTTACATTTCGCTTCATTCGCATGACAGAAAACGAGCAAAAAGGTCGAAATCTCAGCGTGGATTTCTCAGGAAATTGAGACTAGAGATAAAATTTCATTCTTGATACATGTTAAAGCAATTTCCTTCCCCTAAAAAAACCCAACCCAAATATTTTCACGGAGCAAGTTTCTAATAATTTGCGAAAACAATACCAACGCTGAATTTATAAATATCCTACATGTAAAATAAAAGAGAGCTAATGCAAAGAAAAAGATAAAAGCCAGAGATACCTGGAGTGTGGGTGTGGGTGGGGAGATGGGCTATTGCAACCTTATTTTTTTAATGTTTATTTTTCAAAAGGGCTGTTAATATTTAAATACAGGTATATGGAGGGGAAAAAGCCAACTCTCAATATTGGTCAGTCATGCAGTGAAGAAAGTGCTGGAGCTCTACAGATACCAAATCGTTTCCATTTTACGAAATTAAACAAGTACAAGATACACCAATTTAATCTGAGGTCAAGGTGTTCAATTACTGCATACACATTTGATTTGGAATCTTGCTTCTTTCTTTTAAAAAATGAAAGTGGGGGAGAAAATCCACAAAGTCCAAACCATCCACTAGCCCTCTATTTCTTATTTGTATTTCATTCACTGAATCAGATTTTCTCATCAGCAGCTTCCTCCCACCCTCGGGAAAAAAAAACATCGGTAAATAAATAAAAATAAATGAAGAAAGAAAAATCCCCAATCCGGTTTGCGGGCCCCTGAATCAGTGAAATCGACTCATCCTGAATGTGCATTCTTTTAAAAATTATCTAAGTCACAGGTGCAAGGAGGGGGTGGAAGAATCGGGGGGGGGGGAGGTTGTATCACTTTTAGTGGCCCTTGTGCAGCTACCAAGCGGTGTGTGTGTGTGTGTGGGGGGGGGTGTTCATACCTTCCTGACTTGGTGATCACCATCTCTGTCCCCAACTTGTGAAACTGGTCCCAAAGCTCTTTGGCTTCCAGAGTCACTTTGGGGTCGTCCTCGACCTCCTCCTCCGGTTCCAGGCTCTTGAGAGATCGCAGATGGGCTGCCTGGTGATGGTGCCCCAGGGCCGAGACGTGCAGACCAGCTTCTGCTGCTCCAGCCAAAGTAGGGTCCGGGATGGGTTTAGCCAGAGCCGCCGGAGGCAGAGCCAGAGCCGGGAAAAAAGACGGCTGGGCGGCCGCTAGGAAAGCTGACATGGGGAAATCGGCTGGTCTGGGAGCGTGGAACGGGTGATAAGCCATTGCAGTCCCTGTGAAGGCTGGATCTCTCATCGGTGCATCCACAAAGCCAGGAGAAAAGAGGGGACCCCTGGCCCTGGTTTTGGCCCAGCGAGCTCCTTCCAAGTCTCTGGAGGAGGAAAAGGCAGAGCTGGGTGAGAGCAGCTCCCGGCGGCGGACACTCCCCGGTTGCAGTTGGAGATAGTGGTAGCTCCTGATATTTTTTTGTTGTCGTTGCAGCGAGGCGAGCGGGCGCTGGGCGCAGTAAAGTCCTTCGCCGGACTAAAATAGAAACAAAAGCCGAACCGCGGCGGTGCCCAGGAACCACGCGGGGCTTTCAAAGGGCTCCCCACCGCAGCGAGTCTGGGGGGACCAGCCACCACGGCGCCCCCGGAGAGTCAGGAAGGCGTGCGATCCGGATCCGCCTCTGGCCGGGCTGCGCCGGGCGAAAGGACCCGGAGTGGAATGGTTAGATCTTGTCCTGATCTCTGTAAAACTGTGACTATCTCACATGTCCTTCCTGCGCTGATCCCCTCGCTAATGAGCCAAGCCCCCTTGATTGCTGATTTTACGCGTTTCAGACCAATTGTGGATCTCCATAGGCGTGGTTTTGACAGCTCCGGCCAAGATCTGGGGTAAGGGGGGGGGGAGGGAAGGGAAGGGAGGGAGGGAGGAAAGGAAGAAAAAAAAGAAGGTGTCGGAAGCACCGGCAGTAAGAAAACATGTCAACAGAATAAAATATTAACCAATGACAGAGAAAAGTGCTCGAAATCCCACCCCCAGCTCCTTTCCGCATACCGGGTCAGCGCTGAATTTGCTGCCGGCGGGGAGCGCTTCGCAGGCGGGGAACTGCTGACAGAGGCACCGGGGCAGCCCGGAGAGTCTTGTGGAAACCTCAGGAGAGACAGGAGCTAGCCCACATCAGAAGTGCAAAGCAGAGCGCGCGCGCGCGCACACACACACACACACACACACACACACACCAGCTTCGCCTGGGCGGGAGTAGGGCAGGAGTTGCACAGATTAACAAGTCATAGATGTGGCGCGGGGGGATATTACGTGTAAATGCGCCGTAGGCATCTACAAGCGGGAGTGTGCCCGTGTGGTTTTTTGTGTGCACCGAGAGGGCGGTGTGCGCATACCTCTGTGCTAAGATAGTGGGTGCATATACGCCTGTGTGTGCTAGCAAGTTGTGTGTGTGCGTGCGCGCGTGATGTGTGTACAATGAGAGAGAAATCTGAAAGCAACCCTGGCCCCCAATACAATGTTGTGATCAAGCTGTATTGATTGACCGTGCCTTGCAAAGGGCGCGCTGGCTCCGTACTCTAAAGTGGCTTTTGACTAGCAGTTCAAAGCCCGGACTCTTCTTTGCAACCCCCTAATTTTATAAGAAGTAGAGGGGAGAAGGGGGAGGGAAAAGATAAACTCTATGACTCCAGCCCTACGCCAGATACTGGACACTGAATCTAGGTGGGGCCCACCACCGCGCGCGGTGCCCGCCAATCGATGCAACTGCGAAACGCTCCTGGACCGTAGCAGACCGCGAAGGGCGTCAGAGCAGGCAACGGCGAGGCATGGGGAGGCTTGAACTATTTGGGGGCGGCCGCGCGGCGCATCGCCGTTTTAAATCCCTGGCCGAGGTCACTGGCGGCGGGGTTGGCCAGGCAGCGTTCAGCGGGGGATGGAGCTCCAGAATCACACGCCAAGCGCCCCGGGGTGAGTGCTGGCCAGCCTGGACCGCGGCACCGCGTTCATTGCTTCCCCACTGCACCGGGGGGGTTGTTTTGCAACTCGCTGAGTTTTCTGGGGAAGTGACACTGGGGGGGAAGCGCTGCTTTGTGCCTGGGGATGCGGCTGATGAGGATCAAACTTTGAAGGGGACCCAGGCAGTTCTGGGGGAGTCAGCCAGGCGGAGGGAGGGGGGGTTGCGTTTTCTCAGTGGGAGCGATCTCAAGGCACCGGCTGCTGTTTCTCCTAGCGATGTGGGTGGGGGGAATGGCAAAGCCGCCAGCGGGAGGGGTTGGGTTGATCACAGAGGGAATTTAGGGTGCTGCAGAGAGACAGTGATAGTCCCTTAAAAAAATTCCCGCATCCTGCTGACGGCTGAGTTTTACACAGGATTTGAACTAATCCCTTGACAAGTTATTCATCAGCTTGGCGCGTTAAAAAGCCCCCCTGGTCTGCCTGCTTCAAGGTTGGTTCTTCCCTCCCCGGGAAGACTGATCCGGAGGGTTTGTTTACTGGGCGCCTGGATGCAGATAATCTTGAAGGAAAATCCTGAGTCTGTTTGCAAAGGGATTATGGCCGGGCATCCCCCCCCCCCTTCCCCTTGATAGATAGTCTGCTAGAGGGTGTCACCCGGAGGGGTTAAAGGCGCAGGAGCTATTGTTTGGGGGTGGGGAGGGGGTGTGTGTGTCCTTTTTAAGAGGTCCATTTGGAGATCTGTTCTGATTAACTGGGGGCTCCGTTTGCTGAAGAGGGGCTTGGCGCCAGGCGGCTGAGACTCCACAATAAAGACCCGTCTCTTGTCACTTCATATTTACCCAAAAATCTTCAAACAGCGCCCTGCAATCCTCCCAAGGCTCCTGTCCCTGCCGCCTGATCGTCGGCCCAGACGCTTCCCTGGGAGATTGGGGAGGGGGGCGCCGGGAGATCGCCCCCTCCCACCCGAAGGAACTGTCCCAAGCCCCCAGTAATCCCGATGGGGCGCAATGCAAACGCTGGTCCCCTCCCTCCCCCTCCAGAGAAATGCCTCTCCCCTTCCCCTCCCCTGCACGCACCAGGCTGGTGAATAGAAGCGTGTGACCCCTAGATGGCCGCCAAGGCAGCCTGTGAGTGCCCCTGCGCGGGGAGAGCCCGGAGGGGGAGCGAGATTCCGCCCAGCCCGGGGTTGTTCCCAGCTCCAGCTTTTTACGCCGTTCCTCCGCGGCGCGCAGCAAAGAGCAGACAGGCTAGAGGGAGCTTCCTCCAGCCGCGGCCATCTGGGATGGCTGCAGACTGGAGGGGAGGGATGGGTCCGTCTCACTCGCCTTGTGCGCCGGGAAACAGATCTCGTCCTCCAGAGCAAGGGCTGGCCCTGCTGTCCTTAAGGCGCGGTGCGTGTAATGAACACCCAGGGTACCGGGCACGAGCCCGTCCACACGGCCATGCCTGGCTCTGCATCCTCCAGACACCCCCGGCCGGCTGCAACCTCTGGCCCGCGGCGAACCTAGGCCCGGCTTGTCAGCAGTTTCGCTGACACTTGCGCTGCCCTGTCTGTCCCCCCCCACCGTGATCCCTGCCACTTCCCTGTACGCTTGTGCACCCCCCCACTTCCTTCAGGGCTGGGGGCGGATTCACTGCTGGGATTTTGATACTGGTCTGTTCTCCCTTAGGCCAGCCAGGTGAGGACACAGGCGTGGGGCTGATGGCGAGTTGGAGCAGCAGGAACCTAAAGCCAAACAAGGGTCCGCTCCCCCTTTGCCCCCTGGTTGTTGTTCCATTTTGCTGGGTTGCCGAGGGCAGCCCCTGGCGCCACAGGGGAAACCGAATCAAAGCCCAGCACTTGTTCTCCGGGACACTTCACAACCTGCCACTGTCCTGCGGCAGGTTCACCTCTTGCCATTGTGGAGGGTGGTTTTATCGCTCCCTTCCTTGTTGCTTGATGGGCTAGGATAAGAACCCAGCCTGGCCCAGATTGGCGTCTTCTGGCTGGCAGCCCCTGACAAAACCCAAACTCACACTCTGCCGCTGGGGCCCAGAACGAGCAGCAGTAGGGAGAAGGGGCTCAGAGGGGTTCGGGAGGTCGTTTGAACTCACCAGAGCACGGGGGATTGTTAAAAGCTGCAGGGGAAGGTGTTAGGATGGTGTGTGTGTGTGGGGGGGGGGGGTCAGGATGTGTTGACATTTAGACACAGTTTGGACTTTGGATTTCGCCTCTGCGGAAATGTGCTGACGGCAGCGGCCTTCGAATCCAAACCAAACGGGGCTTTCGCCGCAAAGCAAAATCGGTGCGTGTTAGTCCCGGGGAAATGCAACCAGCCCGTCACTCGACGGGCCGCTCTGGCGCTGAACGTCCTGGCGACTTTCAGATCTGGTCTGAAGGAGCAAAATGCAAACTTCAAATCTGGCGGATAATAAACGCAGCTGTTGTGAATTAATGCCGACCCCTTTAAAAAGCAGCTACCGTGCGATAAATAAATCATCTGAATCATCCTCTTACTTCATCTCTGAAAATCCTACAGAGGATTGTTTTGGGGAGACATCAATATATATTCTTCTCTGCTGCCTGGAAGAGTTCAGGGGCGGCTGCATGCCGCAGTTAAGAGGAGGTGATGACTGGAAACTGCTTCGCCTGCAAACACAAACGAAAAGCCAGTCGTCTCACTGAAATTCGGCGTGATAATAATATTTCGCACTGGGTGTATTGAGGACATTAACTCGAATAAATCCAGGATCCGTTTTCACGGGACACCGAGTGTCCTGGCCTTATGAAGCCCAGGCTGATAAAACTGCACATGCAACAAGTCAGTCTCAGATCGAGAAAAAAATCACAGCTCCCCCCATATCACCCAGAACAATTTACTCCGTATTTTTAATTACCTCTAGTGTGGGGGGGGGAAGTGTTAGAAAAATCTATTTGCAACAACACTTCTACTAAGTTTTCCAGAAAGCAGGCTGCTCCGGTTCTCCACAGTCTCCTAATTCGTTTGAACAGGATAAATAATAAATAATAATAATAATAATAATTAATCTCTCCTCTTCCTCCCACTCCACCACCACCACCATATCCAAGCCACCATGTTATATAATTACAGATTAGGAACAAGGCGAAGAAAGGGGTGGATGTATATACCTACACCGTGCCTAAACAGATTCAGATCTTGTTTGATCAAAAATACCTTTCTCCTTATTCACCTAGTGAGCCGTAATTAACAATCACCGTATTCATTAAATATGTTAATACACCCGTCCTCCTTAAGACCCAGAGTTACTTACTCCCTTTTTATTCCTATAAAAATTCGATTGCATGACTGACTTTGTTAGCTGCTAAAATCCCACACACAAAAGGGGGGTTTATATTCCCTATTACCCTTCTTTGGTGGATCAAACTGCAGGGCTACCTATACAGCACAGGACAGAGCAGTAGGAATTGCTGACCTTGCTAAATGTAAACGGAGGGAGAAAAACTCTTCTGAAAATAATTTGTAAAAAAATCAGTGTGAATACAAAGACTGAGGCAATACAAATGCGTATCCCAAAGACAGTGGAACTACTGAGATGTGTGTGTGTGTGGGGGGGGGAAGGGGTTGTAAGGCAGTTGAGATCCCCTCTACAAAGTCATTACAAAAAAATCTCCCCCCTTGTGATTGTGTGAGTTTTTTTGACCTACTTGATTTTATAATAATTAAGGCCTTCTACTAAATGTAGAGCGGTGAGGTTGTGAAAGTGTACATGGAGGTGTCCTTTATCTTACATAGGACAACCCACGTGGAATGGGGTTAATGGAGCACTGTATGGGGGTTACATGTCTAGTATCACACTGCACGAAGTTCACCCTGAAGCCAGGGGAAAGATTTGGATTCTCTCTGCTCCACAAATACGCAAGAACAGTCTTCATTTTGTCCTCTGCGTTTTGATCTAATCATTTCTCTGCCATTTCCTTCTCCTGTAACCTTCTGGGTCTAGCTCTCTTTTTAATGATGACTTATCTTATATAAATAGAGACGATTTCCTAACAATAACCCCTATTCTCGAGGTGAAACAGTGATAAGGGAGGGGGAATCAGGAGGGGAAAAGGGCCACTTACAGTTGTTTACAAGGCATGGGTTTCTTTGCACGTCTTCTGTTTGTAGTTCCCCCTCTCCCTCTTAGCCTTGGGCTTTACCATCAGGATTGCAGATCGGGGAGCTAAAACGTGACACTTTATGAAACATGAAACAGACTACCAGCATTAAGGGAGGCGTAGCTTAGATCACCAACCGCTGTGGGTTCATTTCAAAGAGGAGAAGCCAGGGAGGAAGAGGAGAAAGAATCGGTCATTACAATCGATTACTGCTATCAATTTAAAACAATATGTTGAGCTTCCATACAGTGTGTCTGCTTGAAAACCCTCTGCCTGAGTCCCAGGGTTTAAGTCTTGCAACAGAGTCTTTTAAGGCGATCCCTCCCCGGTGCCCCCAGTTAGCCCGGACAAAGCCCTCCCCCAAAAAGTTTAAGCAAACATCTAAACTTTCAGCCGAATTTCCCATTCCGTTTTCTCTCTTCCCCTCTTTCATCTTTGCCCATCTCCGCTCCTCGCCCCCTTTCTATTTTTAGCTTGTAGACGCAGGCCTTGGCGCCAGGCCGTTTAAGACCTGTCAAAGTCCTTCATATTTCCCTCATGTCACATGGACCTTTCGCTCTCTCCCCTCTTCATGCAAAGCCAGTCATTTGGATCTGGGAGTTCGTGAGCGAATGCAATTTGCTCTTCTCCACGGCTGTGTTGTCTCTGTGACCTCAGTCAGCAGGGCTGCTGGTGTCCTGTCCTGTGCACTTAGACAAATTGCGAGTGATTGATGAAAAATAACAATTCTCACAAGCAGCAATTCCCCTCTCCCCTTCCCTCCTCCCAGCTTCAGCCCGGGCTCGATAGGAAATGAATGGAAAGCTCACATGTAGCGAACCAGACACACTGAGCTCGGAGCAGAACACAAATGCACGCCACAGGTTGAAACAAACAAACAATGTAGGTAGAGGTAGGTCCTGTCATTACCTCTATCTATACTGCTTGTTTGTTTCAACCTGTGGCGTGCATTTCACCAGCCTCTCTAAAGGAGAGAGAGGCACAGACAGCCATTGAATTATTGTTGAGAGAGAGAGAGAGAAATCAGTTTTCAGGAAAGGTGTTTGAAAAGGAAAATTGGCAGCTTTGCTTTCCCCAAATAGCCCAGGAGCTCCACGGCGACAGAAATCGCGGGTAGTATCTGTTCTCCAGGACAAAGAAACCCAACGTGTAACGACCTCAACTGGAGGCATGGGATCTAAGGGGCCAATACTTCAGACAGCCGGGGGTCCTGGCCTGAGATGTCAGCAATAATCGATCTGAACTTTCACTAGGGGGAAATCTCCTATCCCTTACCCCAAACCAGACTCGACGGTGGTGTCCTTCCTGTATTGGCTCAGGAGGGAGAGAGCTGCCCTTTCTGCCTGGATCGCAGGATCGGGAAGAAAACAGATAAGGTGGAGACAGCTGAGGGATTGCCATGGCTAATTTTAAGATAAATCTGGGTGCCATCAGCGCCTGGGCTGAAAACCGAGCTTCTGCTGACACTTCGCCCTAAGGGAAGGGCCATGTCAATCCTCCGAAAGCAGAAGGGGGGGGGAGGGCGGGAAGTACAAGCAGGGAAACTCAGAGCTAGGGAGTGGGGTGATTTTTAAGGCAGCAGTGATGAGCGAGAACTGGGCAGGCTCAGACCGAGTTCTTCCCCGCATGGCTTGGGGCGGGAGGCGAGAAAGAGTCAGGTGGGAGGGGGCTTGAAATACACGCCTGCCCCCCCACCCCCAACATCCCGCTCCCCAGCACCCCAGTAGCACAGGAGACGCTGCAGTGAAGTGTTGTTAGTAACACTGTGAGCAGCGTTTGTGTCTCCTCCGAGGGCTGAATCCGCAGCAGGGAATCCAGGGCAATCGCACGCCAGACCCGGACTGGGCCGGATCCCGAAGCAGGCGAGGCCCTTTGGCTTCAGTGGGAATTGTGTCTGTCTGCAGTGAGGAGAGCCGGGTTTGGCCCCGTCACACGCCTGGCTCCAACGTTGCGAGCCAGAAGAAATGGGCGGGCGGCATGGATGTCTGGGGTACCTACATCTCGTGCACACGGGGCTCCCCTGGCGGGGAGGGGATACTCGGCCACCTTCGCTTCACCTGTGTACACTGCCCCTTCAGGATCCCACCAATCCCATCTCGATTAGCGGGTTTTGCTGCGGAGGTGACCGGCACAGAGTTGCGGGTGGTTTTGTTTGTTTGCTTTTAAACCGGTGGCCAGGCTGTTTGGGGGGGGGGCTGGTTGGGGAGCCGCAGCTGCTCAGGAGCAAGTAAGAGCCACTTTCCGGGTCACGCCGGAGTGACTCCGCCTATCGGCTCCGCAGCCTGCGGCGGGACCGTGAGAAAAGAGGAGCACATGGGATTGACCCTAAGGGGCGGCCCCCAAACGGAGCCAGGGAAGAAAATGGGAACGATTTGGCAACGACCAACAGGTGCGCAGAGTTACCCCCCCCCAGCTGGGTCTAGAGCCCCCCCTTCCTAGAGACACAAACGGCCTGAAGCCAGCGTGGGGGAGACACTGTCCGCTCAGCAGCTAATGTCAGATTGTTCCGTCAAATAAACATTAAAAAATCTCCGTCTGTCTCTCTGTGCGGTTTCTCCACCTCGCGCTTTCTTTTCGGTTGGATTTTAATGACACCGGGCCACTTCCTAAAATAATAGGAGATATTTCATCTGGCAAACTGTCCGTGAAAAGGTACGTTTGGAATGAACTGTAAATTGAACCTATACTCCGATATATATATATTTTCTCTACACACACACACACACACACTAATTAGGAGTATAATTAGTGTGGGTATGTGTATATCAATCTACCTCTGTATATGCGTGTGTATGATCATTGAAGAAATAGACTTTTCTCTATAAACACAGAAAATAGAGAAAATAGAGAAAAGTCTATTTCCTCAATGATCATACACACGCATATACAGAGGTAGATTGATATACACTCACACAGAGGTAGAGATTTATATAGACACACGCATACCTACAGAGGTAGAGAGGTCTACTTCTATGTAGATTAGAATTTAATCTATATTAATGATACATCTCAGTTGAAGGGCTGTTTATTACCCAAGATGCCCTCCGGGAAAATACACAGGGCCCAACCCCCCGCCATGTATATTTTATTTGGAGGCGATAATTCCATAGAAATAACAATCAAGGTTTCGCCCTGTGGCTTCGCTTCGCAAAAGCCAAGCCGCGAACCCGTGGCAGGTGAGGAACGCGTCACCAGCTGAGCTGCCGTGGAGAAGACACGCGTGTGCCCCAAGAGAGCGACCGGCTTAGAAAATTCATTTCTCTGCAACCTCGGTCGGGGCGAGTGACACGAAATGGGTCACTTGATTCAATGTTGTCCTAGAGCCCAACCGCTTAGACTAGAGATTCTCGAGAATGAATGCGGGGTGCCCCCCTGGGATCCAGCTAGCAAAGCTGCCATGCGCCTCATTCAACACCGGCCGTGCAATGAACCACCCTTGACCCAGCCCCTTCCCCTGCCCGTGGCACCATTCTCTGCCACGGGGCAGGACATTATTGGGTGCAAACGCCTCCTTCCCAGGGAAGTGCTGCCGTGGTTTGCCCTGCCTGGAGACAGGACAGGTCTGAGCAGAATTTCCCTCGCCCTCCTGCTGCAGAGATTAACGCAGCCCCTTGCTAACTCAGGCTGGCGAGAACTTTTATTATTCATTATGAAACATGTCTAATATTTTATTCATCGCCTTTGTCTCTGTCTCTCTCTGAACACCGTACGGTTGCTTTTCAACAATCGGATTAATAACCTGAGATGCAGCAGCCTCCCGCGTTTCTGCCTAGCAGATGGGCTTGCCACTTGATTTGTCACTTCTTTGCAACATATGTTATTTTATACTCGCACACGCCGCGGAAAGCACTCCCATTATTTGCCAGGAGTCAGGCAATCCGCTCCAGGCAGGAGAAAAGTCTAGTTCCTCAAGGATCACTCCCCAGAATGGCCAGGGTTGGTTGTAAAGTTGATTGTCTCTACAACACGCCTTTTAGCTTGGCCATGGCCAGGATTTGACCGCGCACAAGTTGTTACCCTCCTACCCCACCGGGGACAGCCCCTGGGCCCAGGGTGTTCTGGAAGTCAGTGTCTAGCCCACAGCAATCAAAGAAAGGGGGCGGGGGGAGCAGAGATACAGCAGCATCTGAAAGAAGGGAAGGCAAAAGGGTAGGATAAACCACCCCAGAAGATGCTGTCAAGGCAAACTTAATGGGGACCAGAGAAGTTGGGCAGAGTGGCCTATACATTTTTGGGGTTTTTTTCTCCCTCAAGAGGTGACAACAGCGGTTGTAACTCGGATCAGATTTAGATCCAGGGAAGAATGAGTGTGGAAAGTGTCCATGAGAAACACCCTTGCAATATATCCATATTTACACACACACACACAAACACTATATCCATATCTACACACACACACACACTATATCCATATCTACACACACACTATATCCATATTTACACACGCACACACACAAACACTATATCCATATCTACACACGCACACACACACACACGCTTTACAGCCAGTCTACAAAATCCCAGACACTGGGGTTCACCCTCACCCTTATTCTTCTCTCTTGAGGTGTTCCAAGAACTGCCCCCTTCCCACTGGGCCGCCTCCCTTCTCTGCAGCGCTTGGCCTGGCAAACGCCCTCCCCTCCCACCCCTGCCGAGGCGACGGAGTTGGAAATCCAGTTACCATCCTTACATTCCAGTTTCACTCCGGCCTCCCGAGCGCTCTCGGTCTCCTGCCCCTGCCGCTTCTCCTGCCGCCTCTCAGGCGGCGGCTCTGGGCCTCGGACCGGCAGGGACACGGCGTCATGTGCCACCCTCCAGCAATCAAGGCAAGATCCTGGAAGGGCGATTCCTCATCCCTAAGGGGCGGGTATTTAAACAGCAGCACCGTATATTTGCTTCCGACCAGAAGCCCCCCCCCCCCCCCCCCCCCAGCTCCAGAGTTTGCAGGTGGACTGGAAGAGAGTCCTGCTCTCGGCAGCTTCCAGGGGCCTTTCTGCAGCCCCAGCACTGAACAGCCTGGGTTGAAAGGGTGCTGCCGGTTAGAAGCATGCACATACTATAGTGAACTATGCACTTTTGGCACGTACGTATCCCCCTCCTTTGCTTACAGCCACGAGCCTATATTCTTTATTTTCCCTTTAGAGTTTGACTCTCTATTTTATGTCAGTTACGCCCTAAGAGAAATCCAGAAACACCGCTGTTTGACACACACCTTACGAGATACGAATCCATATGCTCTTATAATCGTCTCCACGCCCAGTTAGCAGCCGGAGAGTTCACACTGACCTACCTCGAGATCTATTTTAGGGCCACATGGAAAATTGACCCGTCCACCTTTTCTTAGCATCTTTTCAGGAAGACCTGCGAGGAATCTCTTTAAAATGCCTCACGTTTTTAATCCGGCGTCTCTAGCCCCTTTGCCGACTTCCACGACCATTTTCCCACCAAGCTTTTCAGACTGTTTAGATTTCCCTCCGCCTTTAAAGAAAATATTTCCAGTAATCCAGATTTCTGGAAAATAACAACACGCGGGGAGACAGAGACGCAAACTCTACTGAACTTTATTTACCCAGAGTGGAGCGACGTATAAACACAGTTTCCAGACTGTTTGTCAGGAAAAGTTGCATGTAAACCTATTCCCTTGGAGCTTATCCCCCGGGAAAAGAAAGCTTCGGAACCTCACATGTACGGTGCAGTATTGTTGGCATTGCCAGCCCGCATTTCGGGCACTACGATGTGAGATTTAGACATCCCGTCTGGCTTACCTTAGACTTGAAGTAACAATGACTACTGCCATGCTCATATGTTAGGGCTCTAAATCCTGCCAGGAGAGACGCAAGAGCCTGCAAAAGGGCAGAAGAAGAGAGGGAGGCAGAGCCAGCAGCACCATACAAGTCTAAAGGCGCAATCAGAGATGGGCACCAAGGCTTGACCCTCTGGAGGGAAGTTCTCTGCCATTCCTGGAGGGGGAAAATGTCACCAGGAAACACTTGGTTAGTAACAAGGCTACGTTAGGGTGTTATAAGGCGGTGAGGGCGGGAGTCAAAGGGAAAGACCCCCCCTCTCTTCCCCAATCACACGGTGTGTACAAAACTCAGATCAGCCTTTACAACAGCCACGCACATTCTCTGGATTCTTTCTGGCCTGAAGCGCGCGTGTGAGGCGGTGTGTATCCAGATCTAGCCATGTAGACGGACTGGATGTAATGGTCAGAGGAGATATTTTTTTTCCACCCTGTACAAAGCCCTCCCCCCTTTTACCTCCACTATTTTCTAACGCTTTGATCATTGAGCTCTGACCTTGTTCTCAACAGTCCAGCAGGTTGATTGATTTTCAATTACAAAAGTCTTCACTGAGTTGGGACGAAATTAACCCTTTTTAGTGTGTGTCTCCTCCCCTCCCCCATGGGACTCCAGCTTTGAGACTTCATTAACCCTTGCTGCGCTCACTCTTCAGAAACTAGACTGACGCATAAAAGCCAAATCGATCTATTCCCCACTGGCGGTCAAAAACCCGGCCCTCAGCCACACACCCCGATCTGGCTCCTGTTCCGTTTCCTTAAAAGGACAGACACGAATTTCCAATGGCAGCTTTTTCGAAATGCCCCTAAGGCTCGGGGCTGGGGGACCAGCCCTGTGTGAAAGAGGAGCTGGTATTTAAAAATCGTTTCAATCCCAGTGTTTAAAAATTCCATTTGAAAAAGTATGTCAGAGCCCAGTACACGGGGATGTGCAGCATAATCA